TGAGATCAAAGGGTGTCTTACACCTACACTGTGCATCGTCATAGGTATCAAATTTCTTGAGCACTTTCTCTACATAATGAGATTGTGACAAGACAATTCTATCTTTGGTTCTGATAATCCGTATTCCAAGAATAACATCAGTCAAACCCATATCTTTCATGTTGAAATTGTCTCTTCAACATTCTTTTCGTATCCATAATCACTTCATGGCTACTCCACATGATCAACATTTCGTCTACATATAGACATACAATCACAAATGTATTTGATACATTTGTCACATTCAACCAGCTCGTAAGATGGGATGGGGAGAAGACGAGTTGACAAACTTTTCGTTTATCAGCTATGAAGCTGTTAAAATCGTTGCTCGACATCGACCAGCTCGAAAGAAGGGATGGGGAGAAGACGAGTTGATAAACCTTGTGTTTATCAGCTATGAAGCTGCTAAAATAATTGTTTTTCAACCTCAGAAGAAGGTTTAGTATATATTCATTATTGTTTTGTTTTGTCCACCACGATTAAGGCTTCCGGGCTGGGTGGTCAAAGACGAAAAAGCCACCACGACTAAGGCCTCTGGGCTGGGTAGTCCACCACGATTAAGGCCTCCAGGCTGGGTGGTCCACCATGATTAAAACCCATCGAGCGAAGATGGTCGTATGTGTCGACCACCCCTCCGAGGATGGGCATGCGTTCGAACCTAGATAATCGATTGTCATCATATTTTGTTGTGCTCGATGTATTTCTACTCAAACCTCGGAAGTGGGTCGAGTATTTTAATTACTGCTCGAGCAGGTTAATGTTGATTCTTGCTTGATTTTTGTTGAATTGTTCTTCGACCTCGGTGGAAGGTCAAGTATATTCATTACTGCTCGGACAGGTTGATGTTGATTCTTGCTTGATTTTGTTGAAATTGTTTTTCGACCTCGGTGGAAGTTCGGGTATATTCATTACTGCTCGAACAAGTTGATGTTGATTCTTGCTTGATTTTGTTGAAATTGTTCTTCGACCTCGATGGAAGGTCGAGTATATTCATTACTGCTCGAGCAGGTTGATGTTGATTCTTGCTTGATTTTGTTAAAATTATTTTTTGACCTTGGTGGAAGGTCGAGTATATTCATTATTGCTTGAGCATGTTGATGATTTGAATTTGAGCTTGATTTTGTCGAAATTGTATTTCGACCTCGGTGGAAGGTTGAGTATATTCATTATTGCTTGAGCAGGTTGATGATTTGTATTTGAATTTAATTTTGTCGAAATTGTATTTCGACCTCGGTGGAAGGTTGAGTATACTCATTATTGCTTGAGCAGGTGGATGATTTGAATTTGAGCTTAATTTTGTCGAAATTGTATTTCGACCTCGGTGGAAGGTTGAGTATATTCATTATTGCTTGAGCAGGTGGATGATTTGAATTTGAGCTTAATTTTGTCGAAATTGTATTTCGACCTCGGTGGAAGGTCGAGTATATTCATTATTGCTTGAGCAGGTTGATGATTTGAATTTGAGATTGATTTTGTCGAATTGTATTTCGACCTCGGTGGAAGGTCGAGTATATTCATTATTGCTTGAGCAGATTGATGATTTGAATTTGAACTTGATTTTATCGAAATTGTTTTTCGACCTCAGTGGAAGGTCGAGTATATTCATTATTGCTTGAGCAAGTTGATGATTTGAATTTGAACTTGATTTTGTCGAAATTGTTTTTCGACCTCGGTGGAAGGTCTAGTATATTCATTATTGCTTGAGCAGGTCGATGATTATAATTTGAGCTTGATTTTGTCGAAATTGTATTTCGACCTCGGTGGAAGGTCGAGGATACTCCTTATTGCTCAAGCAGGTTGATTGCTTTTCACTTGGTGATGTATTATCGAATTTATTTTTCGACCTCGGTGGTAGGTTGAGTGTATTTATTATTGCTCGAGCAAGTTGACGTTTTAATTTGACTTCGTTTTGTCAAAATGCGATTTTTCGACGTGAGAGAGGAGTCAGGACTTTCACTCTTCCAGAGGATACACAACAGGCTTGAATTTCAAATCTTGAACTAGGGGGCGACATGATGAGGTAACCGAAAAGGTTTATTATTAATTGACAAAGCAGAATGTGTAAGTTCAAATTTTCAAATTCAAGACTTTGGGAAATTGAGCATATGGTTTGCGACTTCAGTCTCGGTTTTTGACTTTAACGGTGGATCACTCGACTTCGACCTCATAGGTCATTCAATTTGCGGCCTCTGACCTCAGGGTCATTTGATGTTTGACCTCAACAGCAGATCAGTCAGTTTTCGACCTCAACGGTTTTTCGACTCTCGATTTGGGGCTTTCGACTTCAACGGTCTCTCAATTCTCGATTCGGGGCTTTCGACCTCAACGGTCTCTCAATTCTTGATTTGGGGCTTTTGACCTGAACAGTCTCTCGATTACTCGATTCTCGGCTTTCGACCTCAGCGGTTTCTCGATTCTCGACTTTTGACTTCTTCGGCGACTACTTGGTTCTCGACTTTCAACCTCAGCGGTCTCTCGATTACTTGATTTTCAGTTTTTGACCTCAGCGGTCTCTCGAATTTCAGCTTTCAACCTCATCGATGATTACTCGATTTACAGTTTTTGACTTTAGTGATCTCAGATGCAGATTTTTTGGGTTTCGACTCCAGAGGCGGGTCACTTAGATCTCAATCTCAATGATCATCTGGCTTTTTATCCTCGACCCTAGCGGAGGGTCGTGGACTTTGACCTTAAGGGTCATTCGGTTTTAGGTGTTTGACCCAGAAGCGGGTCACTCAATTTTTGATCTTATTGGTCACCCGGCTTCCGATGCTTGACCCCAGTGGCGGGTCACTTAACTTTCGACCTCTACAACCATTCGGTTTTCAGTGTTTGACTCCAGCGGCGAGTTTCTCTATTTTTCACTCTTGGATCGAGTTATGCTCACTCGACCAGAGTGTGGGGGACTAGATGATATAGCCACGACTAGTACTGTCGGCTCGACCGATAGTATCTGATATAACATGTCATACCCGATCGGTTTTTATGGGTAGATATTGAAGAATACGCCTATACATAGGCTAAAACACTTGATATGATAAGATGGGCCAAGCCCAACTTAGGCCAAGCTCAATTTGGAGTATAAGGTACACTCCCGCTATAAAAAAAGGGGAGAAGGTACTCATTTCTCCTATGATCTCCTCATTCCATTTCTACTCTCTCTCTCTACACTCTCTCCCTACTCTCTCCATGTGCACTCTCATATGGATCCTGTACTGACTTAAGTATTGGAGGCCCAAAGCCGGGCACCCCTCCCGGGGTCCTTGGCTTTGGGTTCTTGCAGGTACGGTGGCCGTTCGAGTCGAGGGAGCCCGGGTGACATCTTTGTCCCATCAGAGTGGTAGGCGCGCGACAGCACGCGCGCAAGGCAGCTGGCGAGAATGCAAGGCGTGGAATGGCACGCGAGTGGAGCTCATACGGGGGCGCATGCCTATGCGCGGTAGGCATAGGCAAGGAAGGCAGCACGCACGCGTGCGAAAGGATTAAACGCGAGCTGGGTGCGCGCATGGGCCGCGCGTGCGACGCGCGAGAAGGAAGGCGGTCGAAGTAAGGCGGCTAAGGGATTCAAGCTTCTAGATATTCTAGAAGTGCAAGACAAGTAATTAGGAGATATAGTAGATTTAGGATTTTATGGTAGTAGGATATTTACTTGCCTTAGGATTTAATATTTTATTGTTTTAATAGTTTCCTAGTAAGATTAGCACTAGAGGTAATTGGCATCTATAAATACCGATGTACCTCTTCATTAATAAAGATGTTGAGTCTTGAGTTGAGTATTGAATTGGTGAGCCAATTGTGAGGGGAACTTTATGTTCTTACGTGTGAAAAACAAGGCCATTAGTGCGTGTTTACATACAGTATCGGAGATAAGGCCATTAGAGCGTCTTGAAGTCACAGTGTCTAGGAGAAGGCCGATAGTGCGTCTGTTAGATACACCTATCGTGAGTAATCGAAGGCCCTGAGTGCGCGATTATTCACAACTCGAGTATAGACAAAAATCTGATCCGTCATCACGCTGGCCAACGGAAGTGTACGCCTGGTGCGCACGAGCGGGATGCGGGCGACTGGTGACGACGCGCGTAGCGCAGGCTTGGCGAGAGCGTTCACAGAAAACCTGCGCAACGGAGTAGCACGCGCGCGCGAGGCCTTATGCCTTGAGGCATGTGGATAGGCGGGGCAGCACGCGCGCGAGGGAGCAGCCGGGAGCAAAGGCGTGCGCGACACGCCTGATAGGGAAGAACGCGCGGGGCACGAAGCCGCAGTCCTTGAGGGATGTGGTATGGCGGGCAGACATGCGCGCGAGGGCGGCGCGACAGGCGCTAGCGTGCGCAGCACGCTAGGTGACGAGGCACGCGCGGTAAGAGGTGGCGCCCTTGTCCTCGAGGACTAGGGCGGCGTTCGAGTAAGGCGGCGGGAACGACCGAAGAGAGAGAGAGAGAGATGCTTAGAGTGCAAGAGAAGTTCAAGATCCTTAGTTATTTAGTTTCCTTTATGCATTATGATACTTAATATTTTATAGCCTTATTAGTTCCCTAGGTAGATTAAGACTAGATATATTTTGTGCCTATATAAAGGCCCCTTCCTCATGTTATTTTTCATCATCAAGTTTATCAATAAAAATCTGAACTTCTGTTCAAACACTTTATCTTAGATTTCTTCTAGATTTCTATTGCAATTTTATTCATTTCAATAGGTGCGGCTGTGGCTAGAGAAACACCTATCGGCGATTCAAGGCGCGAATTCGTGGCTTATCGGCAATCGAAACACACGATCTTTATCTTTGGTGCTTTCATTGAGAGGTGTTAGATCGTGTTTTTTTCTTCTATCCCATTCCCTTTCTTTTTCTCCTTCTTTATTTCATTTCCCCCTTATAAAAAAAAAAATATATCATCATCATCACGAGTTCTCGAAGCAAAGAGCGTAGGGAAGAGAAGAAAGAAATGGCCAACAAAGAGATGCAGGACAAGATCGATAATCTTGACGTCCAAATGCGAAGTATGAGCGAAGTTATGGAAGGAAGGCTTGGATCGCTCGACGAAGGCCAAGGTAACACCAACGCCGTCGTGGCACGACTCGAGCAGCGCTTAGAAGAGGTACTTCGGGCATTCCAGCAGCAGCAACCACGGCAGCATGACGTCCCTCTAAGGCGCGAACACCACCGACACACCGAGCACGACGAACGCACGCCATCACCACGGTGTGAGGAGCGGTGCACGCACTAGAAGCGCGACGGGGAAAGGAGACGCGGTGACTACGAGCACGAGGACGAGTTCGATCAGCGATCGCAGGCATCCAACTACCGATATCGGCCAAGGCTCGACAAGCCGAGGTTTGTGATGTCCACGTTCACTGGTAATGATCCCAAGGCTTGGCTCAAACGTGCTACATAGTAATTCGAAATCAACGAAACCGAAGGTCATGACCGAGTAAGGTACGCATCATTCTATCTTGATGGTGAGGCCAATGTATGGAGGCAATGGATCACAAGGATCTACCGGAAGCGGCAGCAGACCATCACATGGGCTGACTTTGAGAGGGAGTTGCTTACACGCTTTGGCACATTTGAATACTAGAATTACAATGAGGCTCTCGCACGCATACGTTATACGGGCAGCTTGCGCGAGTATATCAAGAAGTTCGAGCGTCTAGCCTGCCGCGTGCGAGATTGGCCCGAGGATGCACTGGTGGGAGCTTTCATCGGTGGGCTAAAGTTCGATCTAACCCCAGAATTTCGACTGGAGCGGCCAGACACGATGCACACAGCCATGGAGGTATCCCGACGCCGCGAAGAACATCTAGTTGCAACCCGAAGGGGACGGGCAGACGGCCGATTCACCGAGACACGACGCACGGGCCCGATCCATACGACTGCGGGCGCACGACCGGCCATAAGCGCTCGACCACGGGGTCCAGTAATCAGGCGGCTATCTCCCGAGGAGGTCAAATGCCGGCGTGAGAAAGGCCTCTGTTTCAAGTGTAAAGAAAAGTTTACACCACGTCATCAATGTAAGCAAGCTTTAGTGATTGAGGTCGACAATTCCTATGAGGAAGATTCTGAGGACGAGGAGGAACCAAAGCAAGGAAACGAGGTCGAAGTGCTCGAGGAAGAAGCTGAAATCTCGATGCACGCTATGGCTAGGGTCAGAGGGCCTAGGACGATGAGGCTACCATCCTGGGTCAAAGACTGACGAGTGATCGTACTCGTAGACAACAGGTCATCACACAACATCATCAATGCCGACCTATCCCAGAAGCTGAATCTACCAACCACGAAGATTGAGCCCTTTGAAGTTCGAGTAGCCAACAGTGAGAGGCTTCAATGCACTGAGTCCTTTCGTAAAGTACCAATCAAATTTCAAGGAGTTGTCGTGGAAGGCGATCTCTACGCTCTACCTTTGGTTGGACCGGACGTGGTCCTAGGAGTTCAATGGCTAGAAGGGTTGGGAAGGGTGACCCCGGACTACCGCACTGGAGTCATGGAGTTTCGATCTGAAGGCAAGAAGGTCACTCTCAAGGCGGGAGAAGAGAAGATTACAAAGGAAGTTGGCCTGAAGAGCATTGAAAGAGTTTGGCGAGGTGGCGGGCAAATTTTTGCAGTTGTTGTCGAGAACACTGGTGCGCACACGGTCGAGTCCGAGCAACAACAGGAAGATGTTCACAAGCTTCTCGAGGAGTTTGAAGGAGTACTGGGCGAACCTAAGGGACTACCACCCCACCGGGAGTTCGATCATCGCATACCACTGGTCAACGAGAAACACGCAGTTCACGTCCATCCCTATAGGTACGCTCACTTTCAAAAGACTAAGATTGAAAGACAAATAGCTGAGATGTTGGAGTCTGGGTTAATTCAGCATAGCTCGAGTCCATTTTCATCACTAGTATTATTAGTTAAGAAGAAGGATGGTACATGGAGGTTTTGTACTAACTATCGGGCTCTGAATGCTGCAACCATCAAGGATCAATTTCCTATTCCGAGTGTCGATGACATGCTCGATGAGTTGGTAGGATCAAGCTATTTCTTGAAGTTCGACCTGAGAGCCGGTTATCATTAGATCCGACTCCACAAGGCCGACATTCCAAAGACAGCTTTTCGAACACATCAAGGGCATGATAAGTATTTGGTGATGCCATTCGGGCTGTGCAACGCTCCATCAACTTTCCAATTTGCTATGAATTCCATCTTCAAGGAGTACCTACGTAAGTTTTTCTTGGTATTCTTCGATGATATCTTAGTTTATTCGAAATCATGGGTAGAACATCTGGAGCATTTGAGAGTGGTGCTCGAAGTCTTGGAGGCTAACTCATTCCACATCAAGTCGTCCAAGTGTTCGTTCGGGCAGGAGATGGTTGAGTACCTAGGCCACTTTATATCCTACGAAGGCGTGAAGGTTGACCCACGGAAGATAGAGGCTATGGTCGACTGGCCTAAGCCAACAAGTCTCACGCAGCTCAGAGGATTCCTAGGGCTCACAGGATACTACAGGAAGTTTGTAAAAGATTATGGGACCATCGACAATGACCAAGAAAGGCGGGTTCACACGGACCAAGACTAGCGATGAGGCATTTGAGAAACTGAAGGGCGCAATGACTACGACGCTGATGCTCGCCATGCCGAGGTTCGATGTCTTGTTTGAGGTACACACAGATGCGAGTGATATTGGAATTGGATCTATGCTAGTGCAGGAAGGACGACCCCTAGCCTATCTCAGCAAGGCACTAGACACGACTCGATTGGGCTTGTCTGTGTACGTGAAGGAGATGCTAGCAGTTGTCGAGGCTGTAAGATGCTGGAGGCCTTACTTATTGGGGCATCGATTTCGGATTGTGACCGACCAGCAGCCGCGTAAGCATCTACTTTAGCAAAGGATTGTTACCTCTGAACAGCAGAAGTTTGTCTCGAAACTAATGGGATTCGAATTTGAGATAGTCTATCGGCCAGGTCGACAGAATGTTGTAGCTGATGCATTATCTCGACGGACATATGTGGCTGAACTTGATGCTATCACTGGACCAACATGGACCATCTGGGAAGAAGTACGAAAGGCGAAAGAGGAGGATACTAATTGCCAGGAGTTGCGTCGAAAGATTGAAGCTGGAGAAACCACTGCTGATTACTAGCTGCACAATGGCCTATTGCTACATAGAGGCCGAGTATTCGTCCCTGACCGTGGGCAGCTACGCGAAAGGATCATGCAGCGTTTCCACAATTCTAAAGTTGGAGGTACTCGGGTATCTATCGTACATGGATGAGGATAGCCAATACCTTCTTTTAGCCAGGGCAGCAGAGCACGGTTCGAGATTACATCGCGCGATGCGACGACTGTCAGCGCACTAAGGCTGATTCACGCCGGCCAAGCGGGCTGCTGCAACCGCTACCAGTACCCGAGGAAATCTTGGAAGACATCACCATGGACTTCATTGAGGGGCTACCGAGTTCCAATGGGTTTAATGGAGTAATGGTCGTGGTAGATCGCCGTACCAAGTATGCTCACTTCATACCCATTACACATCCATACACAGCCAAATCTATCGCCAGGTTGTTCGTCGAATATGTGATGAAGTTACACGGAGCTCCGCGATTTATAGTTTCTGACTGAGATAGGATCTTTATGAGAAACGTTTGGTCCAAATTCTTCAAGCTACAGGGGACCAAGCTATCCATGAGCTCAGCATATCACCCCCAAAATGATGGGAAAACCGAGGTAACCAACCGAACCCTTGAGCAATACCTACGGTGCTATGTTCATCAATTTCCAAAGAGATGGGAAAACTTTCTACCCTGGGCTGAGTACTGGTACAATACTACCTTCCATGAGTCGACCAAGATGTCTCCCTTTGAGTTGGTGTATGGGTGTAAACTGCCAACGCTGATCAACTACTCAGAAGGAGGCACGGTCAACGATGAAGTCGGCCGAGAACTCGAGGAGCGAGATTTGATGTTGCGAGAGTTGAAGAAAAATCTCAAAGGCTCGATTAATCGAACCAAAGCCTTCGTAGATGGAAAGCGAGAGGAGAATTATGCGCCAGACGAGTATGTCTACTTGAAGCTGCGATCGTTCAGGCAACGCACGACAGCTCAAAGGCGGCAACTAAGCTAAGAGTGCGATACTATGGGCCTTATCAGATTCTGAAGCGCATTGGACAGGTAGCCTACCGTTTGGAACTACCTGAAAGTTCTCAGATCCATCCAGTCATACACGTCTCTCAGCTTAAGAGAAGTTTAGGAGAAGCGCACAAGTGGTGCGAAGAGTTACCAGCAACTGCGACAGATGGAAGGGTCATAGTGCGACCAAAACGGGCCGTGGAGTATCGCAAGATTAGGAAAGCAGGATTCTACCGCTGGGAGGTGCTAATATAGTGGAAAGAGTTGCCACAGGAGGAAGCCACATGGGATGACATGGATGAGATACGTGATCAATTCCCGAGTTTTATCCTTACGGACAAGGAAGCGCTTGAAGGGGACATGAATGATATGGAAGTGGCTAGGCAGCTCAAGAATGCCGCAAGTCGCGCATATCACGCACGCAAGAGGCTTGCGCGAGGGACAGCAGAAATGCGCACACTTGAGCATAGTGCCCGCGAGACAAGCGAGAATGGTCAGATAACGGGAAAGGATGAACGTACACAACTAGCGTGCGAGATGGACGAACAGGCGCTGGCCAGCGAAAGTGTACGACTGCCACACACGAGTGGGACGCGGGTGACTGGTGATGACACGCGCAACGCAGGCTTGGCGAGAGCGCTCGCGGAAAACCCGCGCAACGGGGTAGCACGCGCGCGCGAGGCCTTATGCCTCAAGGCATGCGGAAAGGCGGGACAGCATACGCGTGAGGGAGCAGCCGGGAGCAAAGGCGTGCGCGACACGCCTGATGGGGAAGAACGCGCGGGGCGCGAAGCCGCAGTCCTTGAGGGATGCGGTATTGCAGGCGGACACGCGTGCGAGAGCGGCACGACAGGCGCTAGCGTGCACAGCACGCCAGGTGATGAGGCACGCGCGGTAAGAGGCAGCGCCCTAGTCCTCGAGAACTAGGGTCATGAGAGGCGGTGTGTGAGTAAGGCGGCAGGAAAGACCGAAGAGAGAGAGAGAGATGCTTGGAGTGCAAGACAAGTACAAGATCCTTTAGTTATTTAGTTTCTTTTATGCATTATGATACTTAATATTTTATTGCTTTATTAGTTCCCTAGGTATATTAGGACTA